ATTATGATCATATTTTCAAAATCTAGATCCATTTATTTAAAGTAAAATTTATTAAATTATAATTTTGACTGATAATCCAATTGTGATTATCTTGATATTAGCTGATCTGAAATCAATGATATTTAGCTTATTAGATCCATCTAGATACAAGAAATTGAATAGTAGTTATATATAAGAACAAAGCAATATTGACTGAGATTATACATTTTTTTGTTTTATTTAATTTTTTTATATATAAAAAATCATATGATATAATATTATTTCGACTATTATAACTTTTATTTTGACTTTAACCTTTAAAGTTAAAATATTTCAACTTTAGGTTTTTATTTAAATTTTCAGATTACTTTAAATGTATAAATATATTTAAATTTATTTTTTAATAAAATTTACAAAAATAATTTGGTATTATAAAATGATACTAATGAAATTAAAGTAATTCTATCAAAAAATATATTTTATATACTTTTTAGTAATAAATATTTATCATTTCTTTTTATTATTATTGTAAAAGCTTTTAGATCAATATTTAAATTTATAACTTGATATATTTTTATATAATAAATACATTATATCTTATAGTATCAGAAAATTAGACTGACTTAAATTCAAATAATATATTTTTCCAGTTATTCTTATATTAAAATGAAAATTAAAAAATAATTTTTCATGTAATTTTTATTAAAACATATCAGTTTTGCTTTTCAATTTTTTTCATTGATTACTATTTTAAGCTATATTAAATTAGCAAATTTTTTGTAGATAGATTATATGTGTATCTTTTGATAGATTTTATGGTATATATTTTGTTTTATTACTTTTTTTTGGTAGTATAATTGGAAAATTAACATAACTATAATATATGTTATATAATTTATAATATCAATAAACTTCATAAGAATTATATCTTGTAATATACATTAATTTTATTAAAGTAGATATATTATCTGATTAAAAAATACTAAATACCATAAAGTAAAATCTTCTCCTTTAAAATTATCATAATATTCCACATCTTCTAAATAAATAATTATAATAATATTATTTAATAAATAATGTAAATAGTATAAATAATATATAATATATTACTTCAATAGATATTAATTCATATATTTATATATTATCAAATATAAAAAAAAAATTAAAGTCAAATGATACAAAGATTTATTATTATTATTAATAAAAAGAATAATCTAATAATTATCTGCCTTTTGCTTAAAAATTTGTATTTATCAAGTGAAGCTATTAATGTAATATCTCGATAATCTGAAAAATATTCTTTATCTATCAAGTCTTTATATTATTTTCTATTAAATATATCATTGCATTCTTCTTTATTAATATAATTGAATGTATTGTATTTTTGTATTGATATTGAAGAACTTGGTCTTGATATAAAATAAGTAAATGGTTTTTGAGAGAAAAAATGTTAATTTTTTATACAAAATTTACCTCTCTTAATATAATACATTTTGTTGCATTTCAGAATGTTCTAGAAGTATTTATTTAAATGTAATACTTTGAAAGTATTATTTTTTTTTAAAAAAATACTCCAGAAGTATTTTTATTTAAAACAGATATACTGAAAACGTTTTACTTTAAAATAAATACTTTAAAAATATTATTCTTTGTGAAATATTATCAGACTTTAAAGAAAACTTTGCAGAATTATTTTCTTTAAAGAAAATATTGGTATTAAGATTTTTTTTTGAAGAAAATATTACTAAATTATTTTTTTCAAATAAAACATTATTATTATTATTTTTGAAGAAACATTACTAAAATCATTTTACTTTAAAAAAAATGTTACTATTATTATTTTTATTTGAAGAAATTATTATTAGAATTATTTTACTTTAAAGAAATTATTACTAAAATATTTTTCTTCAAAGTTGATTTTATGAAAAATCTAAACTAATAAGCTGAGTTATGGCATAAATTAGCTTTATTAGCTCACAAGCATTTTATAATGACTCAAGCTAAGCTTTAGTGAGCTAACTTGTGAGACTTATAAGCTAGCTTAGCTTATAAATAGCTTTATTTAAAACTTATTGATTTGTTTGAATTTACTACTTTAAGGTCAAAATTTTTATTATATTGTAATTTATTAAATTGATAAACTAACATAGTTTTAAATATTTCATTAAAATTTACTAATAATATTATCTATTGTTTTTTAACATTTCAAAAAGTTATATAGGAATTTGCTAGGAAATTAGAACTCTGAAAATTTTTTATTAAAATTGTTTTTTATTGTATTTTATTTTTTCAATAAAAATTAAAATTTTAATAAAAAATACTCAAAGTCCTATTTTTTTTAGCAAACCTCTTATATATTAGTATTTAACTTACATATTGGCTTAAACTTTTAAAAATAATTTTAGGTAATATAAATTAAAATGCTAAATTAAATATAGTTATTTCTTTTAATAAATACTAACATTTATTTATGTTTATTTATATGTTTAATAATAAGTTTGATTAAAAATCATTAGTGAAAGTAATAATTTAGACTTTCAATATAGTGATGCTAATATATTTGGTAATCATAAATTTAAATATGAAAATGTAAAATTAATAAGTATTGAAATTAATAAAAAAAAAATTTTGTTATTTTTTGTAATTCAAATTTTTTGAAGATTTATTTTTTTAATTTTATTTTCAATTAAATTCTGTAATCTTATTTTCCAATATTAATTAATATAAGCATTGATTCATAAAAAATTGTAAAAGATATAAAAATGTTTTTACATAAATATCAGAATTCTGTAAGTTATTAATATTTATTTTAAGATATTTGTATAATTATTATAATTTTTATCTTATATTTTGATCTATATCTTTATATTTTTGCTCACTTAATTCTAATAGATATTTAATTTATTCTCATAATTGTCTTTAATATAAAATATAAAATAACTTGAAATATTTGAAAAAGATTAAGATATGAAAAACAGTTAGTAGAAAAAGAGAAAATCCAAATTTTGGTCAAAATTTATATTATTGGACCACTTGGCTGATCTCGGTCATATGCACAAAATTAGCTTAATAATTAAAATTAACAATAATTTTGGATTTCCCTTTTTCTACTGAACGTCTCTCATATATTAGTTTGTGATTGTATTATAAGTATTATAGATATTTTAGACATTATAGATATTGTAGATATTATAGTTATTTTATTTGAATTTAATAATGAAATAATTTGTGATAAAAATGCTATAAATTAAAGATGAGAGACAAAACTCAAAAAAGGCAATTAATAAACAGCCGAAATTATATTAAAACATAGTGAGGGGTATAACAAAACCTGAAATCTGAAATTAGCCGAAACTATATTAAAAACATAGTAAGGGATATAACGAAATTATTTTGAGGGAGTTTCGGTTGGCATCTTTACTATAAATATATTTTTTTGATATTCAGAATTTTCATTTTTTTGTAATATTTAAAAGCTATTGTATTAATATTTGTAATATCTTCCTTGTGATATTCTTTTTTTTTTTTACATAATAACATTTTTCACCTTCTTTCTGGCCTAATATAAAGATAATCTCCTTCACATTTATAATAATCACAATATATATATTAAGATTTTTTAATTTTATTAAAGTATATTTACATATAAAATCATATATAAAAGGTTTGTTAGGAAAATGAAACTCAGTATTCTATTTTTTTAGTAAACTTTTTATATATTTAATGTATTACAATTAAATTGATCAACTTGAATATTATTTTTCAATTATTTCCTATGAATGTTTTTTATATTTTAAATGCTATATAAAAAATAAAATGTTTTCTATAAAATAAACACCTTTTTGATATAATATACTTTGAATTGTACTTTTTTTATTTGTTTAAAACTTGGATTATAAAGATTTTTTTGATCATAATTAAAATAATAACTATAAATGTCTAATTATTCTAATTAACATAATTCCTGCTTTAATTATATTCTCTTCATATATTTGTTATATTCTATAAAGCTATTATTATATTCAGAAATTTTTTAAATTTTCATACCTTTTAATATACTAATCTATTTGTTAACAATTAAATAACATGTTAAAATTTTAGATCAATAATTATATTATAAACTTAATTCATTACTGATATTAGATTATTTATCATTGGACATACTGCTTATTTATTACTAATTTTTTTTATATAGTTCATTAGCAATTTTTTATTTCTTATCAAAAAAAAAGGTAATGGTTTCATTATTTATTATTATTTTATAATTTAAAATTTCATTAGATATAGTTTTACCATATTCAGTATCAATTTTGTTAAAATGGCTTTTTTATGTTCTATTAGTGGTGTTATTAGTGTATTCTTGACACCATTAAAATGTCTGGTATATTAGGTGAAGCATCTAAAATGTTTATGCAAGCATTATATAAAGACAATTTGAAGTTTGAAAATTTATGTATAAAATTTATTCAAACTTTAAGGTCAAGATCCTCTTGAACTAAAAGTAAAAGGAGCAACGTAATAACACAATTGCCTTTAAAAAAGACTTATTTTAAATCGTAGTTAGGGAGGGTTACATTTTCGGGTAAAATGAAAATTAGTTTGAAAATTAAAACTTTTAATCAAGATTTTCATAAGAAAATCGATAATCCTTACTAATTAAGAATTTTGCACTGGATTTGTCCGATGATTGATATATCTATAATAAATGTAATTAAATTAAATAAAAATATATAAAAATTAAAGGTATTTGAAATAAAATTGAGAATTTTAAGTTATGAAACTAATGACTGATTTGTTTTCCTCCCCTTTACAATTCTAATAAATTTGTTGTTGAATGTAAATGAAGACTAATGTATAATACAGTGATATTAGTAATTTTTTTTTTGTAATGAAGTACCGGGTTCAATTTTAATAATGAAGATGCACCTATAAGTGTATTCTTGCATCTACTTGTTAATCTTAATGTGATTTCTTCATTTTTCATAAAATCACATTAACTTCAATTATTTACCGAAATTAATCTAATCAATTCTTTCCATCGTTCCCCACCTTGTAATGACATTCCGTATTCTCTTATTACCATTTGTAATTAAATCTCTTCTTTCTTGTCCAATAAGACTAGTAAATGATGATTGTAATCTGCAACAATTTCTAGGTCCACTTAGAAAGTAATCGGCTTGTATACATGTAATTTTATCTAAAATTCCATGTATACCTGAACTACTAAATTCTGAATCATATTTTTTATCTTTTCTAAATTCTTCAAAAGCATTTAAACTCACCCAAGTGTTGAAGTTTATAGTAGAATTAAGAATTAACATTGCTTCATGATGATATTTTTCTACTTTATAAAATGTTTGTGAAGCCGATTTGCTTCCCGAAATGGGATAATCAGTTGCAAGATAAACCGAATTTATGCCTTCCGTTTTTTTAAGATAATCAATGGTTTTTATTAATTTCCTCGCACACTCTGGCAGTTCGGTTGGTATTGCTTGTTCCATTCTCCAATGGATACAATAATAAGGTTGTAATTTATTCTTCAATTCAGTGGCTTGCTTAATTATGTGAGGAGCAAACGGAATTGGTTTCATGATTTTTGGGAACATTTGTTTCCGAGATCGATTTCGAATTAATATTACGGGTGATTCTACATTTTGAAGATTTTCTGCAATGAATTTTGCCATATTATATTGAAAATTATTTGAACCAACTCCTTTTATTCCGGTATGAAATTCAGTATAATTCGATATATTTAAATTGAATTGGTTTATGCATAATTCACGAAGAGCATTACTTTTATAACGTTCACTTTTCTCAATAGACATTCGTTCATGATCTCTGATAGAATAGGAATCATTCCTACCATCTTCTATGAACCATGTATGTAATGTATCGGGTTTAATTAAAAGTTCCTTTGTCCATTTCTGAAATGTTTGTTGTGTCATGAAAGTAATGTTTGGAAACATTTCTTTCATTCCCTTTAAATCATAATAAAATTCAAAAGGAAATGGTGCACAACAATTCATCCTTGAATTTCCAACGTTAGGCAAAACCATAATACGATTAAGTGACCTCGCAAGATAAGTTAAAGATCTAAGGTGAAGGTTTGCTCTCGTCTCTTGTTCAGGAATAAAATATGGAAACATAAATCTACAAATTTTTTCTCCGCAGTATTTGATGTTTACGTTTTCATAATGATCAATCGGTTCAGCTTCGTCCAACTTATTTAATGAAATCTTTTCTAATAGTAAAGTCTATATATATAATACATAAATATCAGAGCAAAATCGATCAAGATAAAACGATTTATTAAAAATAAAATAAAATAAAGTGAACAATTTTAAAATACTTACTTCATCATTTGATAAATTTAATTTTATGGACCATATAATGTAAACGGCCAAAGCGAGCAAGAATATTCTTTTAAAATTGAAGGATTGAAACCGTATCACACTTTTTTCTTTAACCATTTTTCTTTATCAAATACCCAAATTTCAATCAATTTACCCGAATTTTATATCCCTTAAATTTTTTTTTTTTTTTTTTTTTTTTTTTTGTCCAAGAAAGATTTATGTTGAGAAAATCCGATGATTGTTTACGTTAAAGGAAACTTTGGGCCGGGCGTACTTTCAAAATTTTTATCAATAAAGGATTTGTTAATCCTAATAAAGGAGTATAAATTCATTTCTTTGAAGTGAATTAAAAAATCGATGATAAAAAATTACACGTGAAATTCCAAAACATTTGTTTTAATACTATTTTATTGTTCTATTTATAAACCGAAACTGAAGCATCTATTTAATTTTAAATGAAACAAATAAATGTAATCAAAGAAAATGACAATCATACTAATTAATACAAGACTAATTTGTATGTATGTAATTTAATGAAAAATTTAATTTTGGATAGTAAATTTATTCGTAATTACCAAGTTTTCATTAATAAATATTATAATCGGCAAGCCTTTGAGGTTTCGGATATACCGTCTAGCAGATGTGTACATTTGAAAAGGTGATATTATATTATAACTTTTTCGCGTATTTTTCATGAAAGTTAAAAGTACCTTTATTTCTAACCTTTATTCAATCATTATGTCCAAATATTAGAAAGATAATAAAATCTTATTTATACATTTAAATATCAAGTATTAATGTTTTATTATTAAATATATTAATTAAATTATTTAAATTCCTACTTTTTAAAAAAATTGATTAATGCCCAATAATATTTAAGGGTACCTTTGCTTTCGTACTTCGAAGCCCCATTTGATATATTTTTTCCATACTGTGAATGAAACATGCTTGGTGTTTAAAGAAGGCATTAATTCATTATAGAGGAAATGTTTTATATAGTAACAGACCCATGGACACACAAAGTGAACAAGTATAAAGGATCCATGGTGCATCAACACCGAAAGTAAATTGTTCCTTCTCCTCTTCTAAGCTTTTCGTGAATAAAAACTACTTTTAAATTCGAATTTATTACTTTTATTATATTATTATTATTTATGTATTACTTGAATTAAATAAATAAATAGAATTCTGAATTCTTCTTATGTCTTGAGGCCTTAACCTAGGAGAGTTAAAATATTAAAAAGTCATAAAATAAATTAATAAAATATCCAACTTCATATGCATAAACTATAATTCATCAAATGATTCATCACACGATTCATCACACGATTCGTCCTTATCCTTTTCCCCATTCTCATCCTCATTTAAATCATTTTCACGTTGGACTTGAATTTCAAATTCATCATCAGATTCGTCTTCATCTTCATCTCCGGATTCATATACATCATCATATCCTGGTGGAGGAGGAATCATCGAAGCGATCGCGTAGTCTGGAGGTTGATCAATAGAAGTGTAAAGGGGAGCTTGTCGCCTTGGTCTTAAAGATTTTGTTGTGACTATGATTGGAATTTCGAAATATAAATAATCCTTTACAACTTTAGTTTGAGCGGAATTATTAAGAATTGTTTTTATAGAAAATGTTCTTGAACTTCTATTATTAGTTATCGGTAATAAAGAAGTGATTCGTTGTGCTCTTCTTCCTTCACCCCTTTCATTTCTTGGAGAAACTGGAACAGAATATCGACGATTTCTCTGAGCAGTAGAAGTTATTGCGGGTGAGTTCTCACTTAAAACGTTTCCCGTTTCAGCAGGAATTGACTCCGAAACGCAGATTTTATATGTTAATTTATGATGAACGTTAATTAATGGGGAATCTATATCAGAATTAACCCATGGACATAAGCGAAAATTGACTCTGATAGGATCCGAACCGGAGTTAAAGAATGAGTCGATAGCAATTTTCTTCTTGCCAAGTGGATAACGATCTTCGTCAACATCTGCCAAAACGGCCATATCTTGTTCACCAGTTGTACGATAATGAATTCGTTCTTTTAATCCGTATTCAACAGCTTCAATGACCGTATCAGAATTTATATTTATATGTTTTAACGTTAATTCGGTCTGTACCAAACCACCTTCACGAAATGTTATGATAGGGGTACTAATTTGATAACTGATTCGGCCATCCAAAACTCCTTCAGTAAATGTTGAATTATGTGTCATCATTTCATCCATCAGACATCGTTTAATATATATAGGTTTCTTTGCTAATATATCATTACGAAATAATGGTCTCGCAAGGATTGCAGAACAAGAATATTCGATTTTTCCACGTGATCCCTGAAACGAAGATGGTAAATTCCCGGGAAGATCGAATTCAAAATAATATTCATGTGTACCGGCAGTGATTCTCTTATTTGATGTATCCGAATTATGAAATAAACATTGTTTCCGAAATATCGTTTGGGTTTCACTAACTTTAATAAATAAAAATTGATTAATAGTGAGATGAGAATCGAGAAACGATTTTTTCTTTAAAATTTTTATTTTATTTACATTCTGGTCTTGCTGTAGACATAGGAGGTCCACATGCAACGGATGTCTTGCCAAGGAATACAAACAGTAAATGCTTTACTGGAATTGAATTTTTGTTTTCAAGAATGACTTTTCCCTTAAGTTGACATCCCAATGATTCTTCTGGGAGACCATACATTATACCATTAAAATCATCATCCAGTGTGATTTCTAATGAAACATTTTTCTGTTTAGTAAACATTTTCTCGTTATATCAATCATAAAAAGAGGGAAAATAAGCAATTTTAAAAACAAAGACGATGAATTAAAAAAAAGCAAACTCGCAAAAAAAAAACTGACATTCCATTTAAAAATTAAATGACGGGCATAAAAAATTACTAAAAACGAGGGAAACACCGAATTAAGATATGTATCATTCAAACGTTTAATGCGATTTTAGTTTATATATTTTCCATATTCGATCTCATAATTAGTCAATAATGGGTTGGTATGTTAAGAAAATTCCCGATATTGCATTATAAATTCGGAGATGCCATATATACACGTATTTTTTGACACTTGAAAAATGAGCAAATCATCCATTTTTTTTTCCTAATTATGGTAGATCATACTAATCTTATAATCTTATGACATGATCACAGGATAAGTCTTAAACTTTGTACAACCATGATTTTCATTTTTGTATAAGACGAACTTTGAATGGTCGTTTGGTCTTTTAAACGAGACAGTTTTACGACCGATCAGGGTCGTTTTCCTCTTTCTTTTCTTTTTAGTGGGGTGGTTTTTTCTTTTTCTCTTTTAGATCCTAGAATTGAATAGATATAATAGATAATAATAATAATGCTGTTAGTCATTCCATTGTTACTCATAATTCCTGTTGTGATAATTTTTTATAGAAGAACCAACCTTTTCTATAGTATCTTGTTGTTTATCTTACAATTCATGTACTTGATTTATAAATCATGTTTTTCAACACCATTATTATTACAAAGAAGAAGACGCGTACCAATATCAGCAACACAATTAATCGGAGATATCAAGAGTTTAGATAAAGTACCAAAACATCTCGCAATAATGTTTTGGAGTGATGATGTCCAAGAAGAAAGATTGATCGAAGTGGCGCGTCTGTGCTGTTGGTCCCTGGGTTTCGGAGTGAAAATAGTCAGCATTTATGATGCCGAAGGTAAAGTTTTAGATCCGTCAATTATATTTGTGATTTGATTTGATTTACCTTTTCCTTTATAGGTCGCCTGGGACAACACGTTCATTTGCTTCAATCTCACGTCAACATCATTTCACAAAAATTTTTCATTTCGGAGAAGATCATACCCACTATTCAAATAACCTCACTCGATTCATCATCATCATCAATAAGTTCATCTACAGAGACAGAGCCAGGTATGAATTGTAACATTTGGTTATTTTATCGTTTCAATAGTACTCTTGGCGTTAACGATTGGGATTTTGGTAGATTTACTGGTTAATCTGGTCTCACGTTCCGATGGTCGTACGCGAATAGTGGACGTGACAAAATCTTTATCTGAAGACATTAAACAGGAGAAGTTAAGATATGAAGATGTGAATATTCGGGAATTAGACAAGAGGCTAAGCAGTATGTATTTTAAAAAAGCATTTTGGAATTTATAATTAACCTTTACTTGATATCAATAATTAAATCATCAAATTTTTTTTTAAAAAAAAAAATCGTAAAGTATCACGGTTCCCCGAACCACAACTTCTAATTTTATTTTCTTCTAAAATTTTCCTTAACGGGTTCCCACCGTGGCATATTCATCTAACTGAAATATTGTAAGTGTTGGACATTTGCTATATATTGATTTGTATTCATAATTTAAACCTATTGGTATCTTTATTAACATGATATCTTTATTATACGTAAAGTCATGTGCCTGATAATCAACAATTCTGCTATTTCATCTTTTTACAAGGACTTCGTAAATATTCAAAATGTAATCAACGATTTGGTAAATGAGGGAAGACAAAAATTATACCTTTTTAGCCATAATTTGTTTGATTAAGTTTTAATTTATTAATGTAATTCCTTTGAGGATTTTTTTTTTTAATCTTCAAAAGAATAATATAACTAATAATTATTTTAATATATATAAAGAGGGGAAACATACAATAAGTAAAATCTTTCAGATTTTGATTTCACGTGTCTATCAGTATTAACAAGATTAATTAACATCAGTCAAATAATTAAATTATCCAAATCCAATTTTCTCCATTTCTTATAAAAAAAAAAAAAAAAGGTTCAATAATGTTATGTGAAGATCAGACAAAGAGAATTTAATCTTTTAACTAAAAAAGTCTCATACTTCATATCATTAGCAATGAGATCATCATGTATCACATCGTCATAAATTTTTTTCTGTCGAAATTGGTAATGAATAGCTTTCTTCATTATACTCCTGAACCTTGATTCATTTTTTTTTTCTTTTGTTTTTGTAGTCCTTTCGGTACGATACCGTAATACTCAATCTTCCTTTGTTGAGTCTAACTGATTAAAAGTTGTACCCAATATCGCCCTGATATTTTATTATATTTTTTTTTTATTCAACGCAATGTATGCTTCTCTTGCATTTTTCAACAGATTATTTCCATGGGCTTTCTAAACTCGCTCTTTAAATAATTTTTTTTTCTAGAATAAATATATTATGAATTTGAAAATATTTTTACATTTTTTTTTTTTTTAATATTCAGAATTTCATATTTATTAGCTATGATTTCTGCTTACGTAAGCAAGTTCCTTATCACGTGTTTTCGTATCTCCGTCAATTAAACTTATAATACTTCGTAATTCATTGTTGTGAAATCAGCGTAAAAAAACACCTCGCTTAATTTCCAAAAAGTAATTAATGTGTAGAAGAAAGAAGGAGGGGAAAAAAATGAATTAAAAAAGTTGATTCGTTATTCACGTGATTTACATGAAGGGAGACTTTCGAAATTATAATTATTGCCATATTACTAAAAGGGATTTTTTTTTTTAATTTAAACTATCTACAAAAAAAATTTATTATACAAAGAGAAAGGATTTTATATAAGTTTAACATTATTTTTAGGGTATTTTTTAACCACTTCCAAATGTTCTTCCGACAAACCCCGACTGAAACAAAATTCCAAGATCCCATTATCCTTCCCAACCATTAGACCATCAAGGAATTTTTCTAGTACGCTAGGACTGAAAAACCAAATGAAATAAACCTTAAATGTTCTCAAACTGTCGGGAAAAATATGTTTCAATTTCAATAGGTATTCGTCAACATCCATAGCATTATAAACATTGTATTGAGAACAATTTAAGGGTTGTACTTTTTTAAAATCGAAACTTGGGTGATAAATATGCAAATATTCTAATTGTTGACATCCTTTAAATAACTCTTCGATTGTAAGGCTTTGATTAATCGTCACTGGTGCAATGAATTTCTTGAGGTTATGACAATAAGTTGATAATAATTCTATTACCCTCTCAAGGTTATAATTTTGTAATCTTTTAAGCTGTAAAGTGTGAAGGGTCGTGCTCGAATATTGAAAGACGGGTTCAAGAATTTCTAAAGGTAAATCGTACTGTTTAACTATTATGGTATTTAATTTTTTAAACTCTCGGAATGGAGCTTGGATTTCATCCTGATTCAATTGATCGATGAACCACTTTTTGATTACGATCCTCTCTAAATTCTCAAATGTCGTCAATTGTTGAAGGAACTTTGTATAAAAGTTCGGATCAAAATAAATATGTTCGATGGTCAAACTGATCAAGGATTTCCTTGCATGTGGGGAGGTGATGAGTCCATTCCAAACGATTTTAAATCCCTCAATATTTTGAGATTCTATGGAAAGGTTCTGTAAATTTTGTTGAGCTTGCACAATCTTCACCAAATCTGTGTAATTCCCCATTTTGATATGCTCCGTTTGACATATGATTAAAGATTGAATATTCTGACAAAGTCTTGAGATGGTTTTGAATTGGTCCGAATAATATTCATTATTCACCTTTAGGTTATGAATTTGTGGTAACTTTGAGGATGCCCCATAAAGTCGAAAGATATTCAGATCATTCGCTGAAGTAATGTCTAGGCAGTCAATGTACGCGGCTTGACTCAAGAAATTTCTACACAAAGCTTTACTCAATTCTTTCTTCATCCTCTCACATGGAGTTTCGGCTTCAATCTTGGACTCACACCATTCCAAGACGGTTAAAAATATTAGGTTGACCGGTATGTTCCTTATGTAAGCGGGATAATTGAAAGTGACGGGTTTCGTTAAGGTTGTAGAAATCCGTAACCTCTGTTGGATCGCATGCGGCAAACATGCGATGTATGTATCTATTAAAGCTATCTGTTGTTGATCGGGACTCTCAAAAGGGTTTCTCCATAATTCTGGTATTGCTGACATACACCATTGTTTGTTGACAAATACACAGGAATGCAAAGATTTTTGATCCTTTTCCAAGTGTTGGAAAATATTTGATAAGCAAACGTAAGGTAAAGTGTAGTTCATCTGTATTTATCTTGAATTGAGAATGATATCCGGAAAGGAGTGGTTGAAAAAAAAAATCATCAATCCGAGACCTAATTTATAACAATTTCTCTGCATATCATCACATGACCAGTATCCGATATTTCTGTGCGCATTAACGTCATTTGGCGCAGTTGCAAAACCTTTTTTTTTTTGTTTCCCAATTTATCGGAAAAAAAAAAAACTGCAAAAAAAAAAAAAAATGGAAAATGATGAGGAGGTACTCTTTTTTTTTTAAACGAAAATCTAAAATCGGGTCTTAAAATAGTATTTAATATGAGTTGGTCGAAAATTCAAAAAGATTGATTTTGATTGGCGTCGGCAACCCGGCAACCCGGCAAGTTCTCGCAAAAACACATTAAATATGAACAAGGTTTTCGGGGCCGAAATACAGCCGTGTTACATGAATTTTTTGCTGATGGATCCAATAACTCTAATAACGCATTCACCTGGTACATGAATATGCACATTCTAAATCAAACATTCTAAGAATATTATTGTCCCTGAAACTCTTAAAACTTAATTCTTAACCTAAATCAGAAAATTTCTTAGTAAATCAGATCAAAGATAACAACAAATCTTGTAATTTGTACATGATCTAGTGAAAATGAATGGTCGCTTGCACAAATATTTTGAAATTTTTTTTTTAAAAAAAAAATATTTTAACAGACATAAATGATATGGAAATTTACACAGATTTTATGTTATCGATCATTTACTCAAAAAGAAAAACTTTATTTAGATTCAATTCTGATTACATCTTATTATATCTAATTATTTGTATTTGTATGATCATCACGATTAAGCTCTATTTTTGCACCTTTAATATCTCTCGTCAATTGATTCATTGAAGGCCTATAATTTCACAGACTAATAAATTCTACACATCCTTGTTACCTCTCTTTAAAGCTAAAGACATTAATTGATCAAATTCACCGGAGTTTTGACACATTTTATAAAATAATGATTCATGATTTATTACCAAGTTATGAGGACTATCAAATTCCATTATGTTGCCTTGATCTATTAATTTATATGTTAGATGAATAATTAAACAAAATTATTCTTAAATATTTAGAAAATCGACTTACCAAGCACTAATATTCTATCATAATCAATGACGGTTCTCAATCGATGCGCGATACATATGATGGTACAATCCGTGAATTCGGTTCTTATCATATTTTGTATCTTTTCATCCATATCGAAATCGATACTAGTAAACCAAAATACATCACAAAGTTAATAACGGTCTCATGATATCAAATTCCCCGACGTAATTTACCTTGCAGTAGCTTCGTCCATTAAAATCACTTTATTTCTTCTCAACAATGCTCTGGCCAAACACAACAATTGCCTTTGTCCTTGACTAAAGTTTTTACCGCCTTCACTTACAGGCGTATCCAAATTTTTGAATACATTAATATTCTCGTGGGTATATGAACTCCTACTTCCTCTCCTATTCATTGTTTCTAATGAAGTATTTACTGCATCCAAAGCAGCCACTTGTTCCGAGTCCGATGGTATTAAATGAACACGTTTCAATGAAGACATTATTTCAAGATCGTCATACTGTGAAAACGCATCCAAATTTGAACGAATTGTTCCTATTAATTAATTATTTATATAATCAAATTATTTTTTTTTAAAAAATTTAAAAGAAAAAAAAATCAGTTAACATAATAATAAAAGGAGTTTAATAAATCAAATGCATCTTAAAAGAAAATTTACCAGTAAACAATATAGGATCCTGTGGTATAATAGTAATTCTTGTTCTTAAATCTTCAACTCCAATTGAACTGATATCTATATCATCGATCAATATTTTTCCACTTGATGGTTCAATGAATCTAAATAACGATAATGCTATCGTCGATTTGCCTGACCCTGTCCTATAAAATAGCAAAATTTTCAAGAAAAAATTTATTGTTCAAATAAGAGATTTCCAAAAAAATGCTTTTAATTTTTTTTAAAAATAAATAAATAAATTAAATTTACCTTCCAACAATCCCAACTTTCTCGCCACCTTTGATACTAAAACTAATATGATGTAAAACAGGTTCTAAATCTGAGGCATATTTAACTTCTAAATTTTCCACTTTAATTTTGCCATTATATGGCCAAGCAGCTGGAGGTCTTGGTGAAATTATAGCAGGTGCTTCTTGTGGTAGTTCTGAAAACTCGCACACTCTTTCTACAGCATTTAAACTCATTTCCATTGAAGAATATCTCCTAATTGTCCAAATTATTTGTTCTGTGAAGTTTAATGCAAATGACAATGATAATCCGGCCAAGCCCGGATCTAACGAGTCTATATGATAGAGTAAGAAGATACCGGCAAAGAAAGCAACTAATGTACCAGTCAAACTGAAACGAACTGATAACCATCTGTTGACGAGCCACATATTAAAAAACGCACGATGATTTGAATCAATCCTTAAATTTAAATCGAAATTATTTGTTAATATAAGTTCACAATCAAGGTTGAAATAAATTAAAAAACATACTTATTAAACATATCTTGCATGAATATCTTAGTAGCACCGTATGCTCTAATTGTTGAAATACCACTATAAAATATAAAGAGATAGATATTTTTATATGTTTAAATAAATAATGAATTTCTTTAAAATAATGCGTTGATTTAATTATTCTTACATTAGAGTTTCTGTAAAATGTGAATACAGAGGTGATCTCGTAACAGAATCCAATCTCTTACACTCCCGCGAAGCTTTAATATATAACGATCCAACAAGTAAATAGATAATGCCTATTAAAAGATAATAAGGCATGTTAAAGGGTGATGATGTAAAACTATAAATCAATCAAACATAATACATCGCACATACAAAATATAATCGCAGCAATAAAGAATTCTACAAATGAATTATATAATAATAAGTAAATGCTTTAAGATATTTAAATGTATGTATATAATAATAAAATTTTTACCTCTTGTAATAGATGTTATGACAAAGATAGTGGTAATTGCCATAATGGCCTATTAATTATAAGAACAATTTTATTAGGAATCAGGAATAAAGAGAAATCAAAACCCCTTTTTTAAAAGAAAAAATGGTTACATAAGTTAAAAACGTGGAGAATTCAGCTAGACAATAAAGAAATACAAAATTAATAATAATATTCAGACAACTATATTTATAAAATATTAAAATTCTCAAATACCTATTAAATTACTATCAATAGTTTCAAAATCCTTACTGAACCTATTAAGAATTCTTCCAACGGGAGTAGTATCAAAAAATCTAAGTGGAGCTCTTAGAACTTGTTTAAGCAAAGTTTTATATAATTTTCTTGAAGCTCTCAAACTTCCGTAATATAGTAAGGAAAACCTTACAACTCCAAAGATACTAGATGAAAGTGAGATTAATATATAAATGTTCAAATAATAGTCGATACTATGTACATCATTCTGAGCATCATCATCGTCATTAAAGTTTAATGGGAGAATTCGTGATGACAAACTCCTTCCCTGTTGATCAAATGAATATGTTGAGACCATTGCTGGAATTAAGGATGAAATTGATGTTACATTTTCAATAATATGAGAAGTCTCAATTGAGATATAACTATTGCCACTCTCTTCCAGACTTGCTTGTGACCATACTTTAAGCCACCAACTTTCCATAATTTGAGTTGTTCTAGTTATAATATAAAGTATTGCAACTAAAGACCAAAATATTATGTGTCCATTAGCACGGACATAAGTCTTATATATTCTTAATCTAACAGCTCCAGTCGGACGTGCTAAAGAATAAATTTTGTGAGTTGAATCAATCACCTTAAAGTAATATAAACAAAACAAAAAAGAACCTGAATTACCTTCTTCTTCAACGAGAACTTTTGGTTTTGAAGTACTGGAAATTTTCTTCTTATTTTTTTGAACATCACCTAAATTAACTTCATTTTCAACATTTTCCGTAACAGATGAATTAGTTAAGGATTCAGCCATATGTAAATTCATCTTGTCTGCATCATCTTTCACTATATTTTCTGCTGCTAGTTCTGCTGAATCTTTGACAAATTCGGACCTGCTATCGGCTTCTTCTAATATGGCAGTCAATTTACCGGAACTCCTTAATTCTGATACTGATCCTGCCACAGTTACTTTACCATTATCAATAGTGACCTTTATTTTAATTGAAAAAATTAGGCTCATTCAACAAAATGATGAGAAATTTGGTAATAAGAAAACAAAAATGAAATTCTTACCAAGTATGAAGCTTCTTTCAAACATAACCTGACATGGTGTGTAACTAAAATTATTGTTCGCCCTTTCATTAAAGTGCCTGACAAACACTCAATCATCAAATGTTTAGCAGTATGCGCATCGACTGCGCTCAAAACATCATCCATTAAGATATGCTTTGCTCGAGAATAGACTGCTCTAAATTATTTAATATTTAGAGCATAATTTTTTAAAAAAAGGTGTATCAATATCAAGAATTAATATGAAGATTATAATAAAAAAAATCGTGCCAAGTAAAGTAAGAAAAAAACCTTGCTAGAGCGACTCTTTGTTTCTGCCCTCCTGAAAGTGTGATTCCTTTTTCTCCGATCTCTGTCATGTCACCATCTTCCAAAATCTCTAAATCCTTTTCTAAAGAACACACTCTAATAACTTCCGCATATCGGTCCTCGTCATAAGGAAGGCTGAAAATAATATTTGATCTAATAGATGCATTTTGAAGCCAAGCTTGTTGAGCAACTAGTGCGACACTATTTGACAATATCCAGTTTGATGGATTAAGATCAGAATTTATAGGACTTGTTGGAGATTTTGGACAATTAGCTTTTCCATCTATCACATGGGTTTCTTTAATTTAAAGCATAAGGTTAATAATTTCCAAATACACATAAAATGAAACAAATCAAAATAAAATAAAATTTTTGTTACTGATATAATTACCTCCGAGAAGAGACATTAATATTAAGGTCTAATAAAAAAAATGAGGATTAACTAAACATATTTAATTTCTCAAAAATTATAATCTACCAATCTCGTGATTTTTTACCTTTCCTGATCCCGTTGGCCCACCTGGAAATTAAAATATTTGTCATTAAGAGGCCCTCAACAAGTAAATAAGAATGCACATGCAAAAAATTTCGCAGAACTCACATATCAAACTTAGTTCTCCATTGGGAAACTCAAAATTCAATTTTTCCATTCTAAATAGTGGTTCCGATTCAGTGTCATCTTCACTATTTTTAGGTCGATTCCAAGTAATAGTAGCATTCTCAAAACCAATTTTACTCTCTTGTCCAAATATATTCTCTCCATCCCCCATGTCTACTTCAGGCTTATTATTAATCTCATCCTCATTCAAGAACTTTTCAATTCTCTTTATACTAATATAAGCTTGTGACCCATCCGTAAATACTTCAGGCAAAACATTAAGAGCAAATCTTAACTCATGGAATATTGAGAGAGAGGTAAATGCTACTGATGCTGTTAATTCATGCCCTTGGATTTTGGTAAAGATGTAAAAAGATGATATTGTTACCAATACGGGAGAAACAATCCAAACAAAATCGAATACTGTAAGATGAATAAAAGTGTTGCGAAGTTGTTTAAGATCTGCATTGCGCGAATCTAAAAAAGGGTGACCAATCATTTAAATAATTAATTCCAAAAAAAAGAAAAATTTTCTAAAATTCAATAATTTACCTAGTATACGCTTTTCCCAATTTTTTTCCCACGCGTAAAATTTAATCATTCGAATTCCTTGCAATACCTATCACATATGATTGTTAATTAAATGAAATCAATGGCAAAGCTTTCTATTTTTTTTTTTTTAAAAAAAAAACTTACTTCATTCATTAAATCAACTCTTCTATCCCTTACTTTCATCAGTTTATCCTGAGTTTTATTATAATATTTTGCGGTTTGATGATTGATGGGCAGTGTAAAGACCATAATCACTAGTCCGTATAAACAACTACTACCCAATAGAATATATAAAAAGTAAAGTCCCACAAACAACTCAATAGGACAATCGATAATACTATTCCACCAAGTTGCAAATAATGAAATTCTATTGGAATCTACTGCCATTAAATTTGTTATTTTTCCGATTGTAGCATTTTGATCTAAATCATCATCATCATCATCATCATCATGTGAATCATCATCATTTTGTCCGGAAATTTTATCATTTGATTTCGCATCATCCTTTTTAAGTGCCGAAGTAACGTTAGAACCATATCTCTTCAAAGCTTTTGAATAAATTTCAGAATTGAGTTGTCCTTTTATGGCAACTTGTAACATGCTTGAAGACCAGTACCAATTCTGTGATATGGATAATTGTAAGGCTATATTTGAAATAAGCATTCCAAATATATAAATGAACCCCCATTCTAATGTTTCACCAGATTCATGTCTGTCTTTATAGTTTTGAAAGAATTCAATAAATCGATAGAGAAATGCATAAGGTGCATAATAAAGTACCGCAACAATTATGACAAAGAAACTTTGGATCAATATATATTTTCTATTTGTTCTCAACAAACGATATAAAAGAGAATGATTCCTCCATCTTTTAAAATCATTATATAGTGTGGAAGCTCTTAATGAATAAGGTAATTGATCGAAATCGGTATCATTGAATGAAGTCTGATAAAAAGCTTTACGAATTAATGGATTTACTGTGCTAAACATAATAAAGTCCCATAATGAACTGTATTCCGCTGCGTAAACTTGTCGATTGTTGTTTAATAACGGAGGTCCTCGAGGCGTTGTGATAGCAATTGCCGCTGATATAAAAGATAAAATGAAATTTGACAAGGAAAGTAAAATTTCGATTCGTTTTGTTTTAGGAAAGGGTATAGAATCAGGATAATAGTATAAAGCAATGCGAATTTGTAATAAAGACGAGATTATAGCGACAATATAAAATACGGTTAAATGGCAATTTATAATCCATCCCCAATTTCTTGATCCTGATGTTATACTTATTGATGTCAAGATCAATGCGTAAAACTAAGGAATAGAAAAATCAATAACGATTAAAAAATAAAATAATATAATATAATTGATTGATTTTATATTTACCCAACATAATGTCATTAATCCGGCATTTAAAACATATTTATCATCGTCATCATTATTATATCTCCAATAAAATAAAAATCCAAATAATCCAATTTGCAAAAGGATTATTACAAGCTTTATTACGTCTCTTGTTACAGTTGAAAAACGTGTACTACCAAGTGGAACATCACCAGTATCTGTACTTGATAATTCTTGATATCTAAATGTTTTACAACTTTTAATTCCTTGAAAAAATAAAATTATTGAACTAAAGAAAATAATTATGGTAGGCGCTGGAATTATTTCGATTAATGAAGCCATTCACGAAATTAGAAAAATGACGGAAAAACGATTATTTTTTCATCTCGCAAATAAATAAGGGTTTTAAATAACAAACGTCAGTCACACAATTATTCAGCGTTATCGCCAGATCCGCAGGTATGATCTACTAAAAGTTAAGTGTGCAGTAAAATTTACGTCACATGCGATACCAAATAAAATAATACATTTGATAAAAACCCGATGTGGACAAAACTTTATTATACATTACTGTCTCTTAGCATAACAAATGAGATTTTTCTAATAGATAAATTTCATTCAAGTATTTCAAACAGAATTGGATAAAGATAACGAAAGATCTAGTATTGTATATATTCTTGTGATGAAAAAAAAATGATTGTGAAAATTATTAGATTAAATCTTACTAAACCAAATAAATGCCAGCCCCAACATTTAAGTTAATTCGACCTGAGATAAACCGGATGCCAAACATGGTTTTTATCGTTAGTCAAAATGCAAAAGTTTGCGGAATAAAATGTTAGTGAATAATAGTGGGCTCCAGCGGGAATTGAACCCACGACCTCTCGCACCCAAAGCGAGAATCATACTACTAGACCATGGAGCCATGAACATTAATTATTCTCACGAATTTTAATTATTTGAAACTTATTATTTATTTCTTTTTTGGGAAGAGTTTTGGCCAATTGCTCATTTTTTTAAAACAAAGTTGGGAAAATCAATTGCTAATCCGCAGAGCAGAGTTCCTATCTGCTATGGTTGGAATTTATAACTTGATTACTTTTATTTGAACGATTAAATTATGAGGAATTAATTACGTACAAGAATTTCATTCAAAAATCTTTACTAATCTTTTTTTTTTATGGATTGAAAGCATACATTTTTTTTAATAATTGCGAAAGAAGATTATTGAGTTATTTTTTTTTTTTGTAAAAAAATAAATAAAATAAAAAATTAAATAAAATAATGACATCGTAATCTACCATCTTGATATTATATTTTGAATCCTTTGATTATCATCATCATCTAATACTTGTCTTGTACTAATAATCTCTTTTATAAAATCATTTGTAGATTTTGAAGAACATTCTGAAGGAGCGGTAATGAAGTAATCCGATTCTATACAAACTAATTTATCTAATATGCTCACAATTCCTGTTCCCTTAAATTCTTCATGGTTTCCTTTCTCTTGTCTTATTTCGTTAAAAGCATCAAAGGAGGACCATGTATTAATGTTAACTGTCGAGCTTAACAAGTTAATTGCTCGACGATGATCTTTGGTTATATGACGAAAAGATGTGAAATCCGATGAGATCGGATAATCTGTCGATAAATATATATTATTTAAATTATAATTTTCTCTTAATCCTTTTAAGGCGTTGATGAGTTTTTCAGCACAATTCGATAAAATGGTCGCATCTGTTATGCCAATCATATTCCAATAAATGGCTATAAAAGGTTTTAGAGCCATTTTAATTTCCCAGGCTTCTTGATAAATATGTTGTGAATATAAGTACTTTACAGAAACGGGGTGAAAGGTTTCTCGCTTAATATCATAATTGATTAATAATATTTCCGAATTGGATCCTTCTAAATTTTTAATTAAAGATTTTGAAAGTTTTTTACCACCAAACGAGTTTAATGACAATCTCGATTTAAAGATGATTTTTTCGAATGAAGTGAAGTTACTATTAAATTTCATTTTAAAGTTTTCAAGACAATTGGTACGTTTAACCGATCGATCATTTAATTTTATATTTTCTATATGTTCATCATCTTCATCTTGATCAAAAGAGGATGAGGATGAGGATGATGTGAAATGTAAGTAATGAAAATTCGGTTCCTTGAATCTTTCTCTTGTCCAATTTTGAAAGTGCACTTGTGAGGTGAATGATAATCTATGGAATTTCTTTCGCAGGTACTCGATATTATAATAAAATTCAAAAGGAAACTTTTTACACGAATCAAGTCGTGATTGTCCCACATTGGTTAAAACGAGCGTACGATTTAATTTTATCGATAAATAAGCGAACGTACTTAAAAAATCTATGTTTGAACTTCCTGAATTTGAATATACGAATAAAAATCGACATTGTGGGCTTTGGCAATACCTTTGATTAACTTCGATGTCCGAATTGTTAATTTCGGAGTTCACGTTACCGTTTTTCAATCCCTTTATATCCTAAAAAAAATGGAACCTCGTTAAAAAATATTGTTGAACGAAATGGAAAATTTCATAATTCGATATGTATTATTTTACCTCCAAAAAACGTGGCTGAAAATCCGAATATTGCAGCAATTGTTGTAATTCCTCATCAAAAATCATGAACAACAAATAATTTGTTGCGATAAACACGAGCAATAAAAACAGAGTAAAAGGTTTCATTAATTCGTGAACTGTGAAATATAATGGATTGCGATTCATTGTCAGTATTTATTATCAAATCCTAAAGGAAGATGGGGGGTTTTTTTTTGTTTTTTTCCAAAAAAAAAAAACTGAACATTTATAATAATCTTCTTTTTTTATACGATAAATTCCGTTTATTTTATTCTCGTGTTACTAGAATAAAAAAAAAAAATTAAATAACTGGATTATGGAGTTAACTACTATTAGATTGGTGAAATAAGATTAAATATAGAACAATGGCACGAATTATTTTAAGAAATTTTATGTTCTTATCCGTCAAAGAATAGTAATTAATTTTAAATTAAATGAATTAAATGTGATATCTTTATTTAGATAGAAATTGTTTTCTGTCAAGTGGTCAATTTTTATAGTTTCGAGAGCACCAACTATGTTGATTTTCTTTGATGATAAATTTTGATATCATCGAACAAAGGCAATAAATAAATCCTTTTTTCACATGTTTATCGAGTTGAATTCCTTTGAAGGTGTAATTAATGATGTAATCTCAACCATCTGCTGATTCTTGTGAAACGTACATTGTTCATTTGCTATTTTCGTTATTTATAAATTTATCTGGCGTAAACTGCCCTAATAATAAATCAGGGAAATTCAATAATCATATTAATGAGACTAATTAGATTTTTTTTGATTACTGCGTCTCAAACATTATTTTGAACCTTGGAGTCGAACGGGAAATGAATGTGGCATTAAAAATGTATACGATCAGAATTCAAACAAAAAAATATTATTTTTTTCTTAAAAAAAATAAATGAAAAAAAATATATTTGGATCATTTTGCCTACTCATCAATATAATCGCCTGGTCATTATGGATATGTAAACAGCTCAGAGAGGGAATTCGGTTTGTTTGATCTACCAGATTTCTGGTGAACCATCAAGTCGAGTATAAATAGGAAATTCGGTAATAGGGAAAGAAATGTCGAGTAGATGTCGAAATAGAGAACTCCTGTAATTAAAAAAAATGGTTAGAATTTAGAATTAACCGAAAATAAAAGATGTTATTCCATCCATTTCTATGTGCAAAATATTTATTCAAAGGATGTTTAATTTTTATCAACCATCCGGAAATGTTATTTACAACAAAATATGAATCCTGCAATAAAGAATTTTTGTTTTAGATTAGGTAGAAGTAATAAAAGTGAATAAAATGTTATATATCACAAGATCTGATGTATATTATTGGATGTTGAAGGCAATGCCATCCAATAATAGCATACATGGTCGCTCTTTATTTTAAGTATTGTTCTTTGTATAATAAAGATATTGGAGTTCTCGCAACGCGTGATCCTTTCATGTCCCTATAAAAAATTGAGCGTCCAGAAAACTCATCAACCGGAAGCTTCTGGAAGCGTCCAATTCATGTTTTACCTGAACATTTTCTGTACGTTCTTTTTTTTTTTAGTGTATATGTACATAAAAGTTGATAAAAATTTACAAATACAGAAATATAAGTCTAGAGTATTTAAGAATTTTTTTTTGTTATTGCTTCATGAAAGTTACACCAACCTTCTTTGCTTTAATTTGAACTTACGCTCCTTACGCTTCCTTACGAATATAACTTTATCCTAAAGAAGCTTCCTACTGCACCAAAAATTTGACGGTTATATATTTTCAAACTCCGCTTCTTAAAATATGGGAAAATGTTTATTGAAATCTATCCAATATCAATAATTTTCATCGTCATTAATCATTAAATCATTAAAAATACAGAGTGCCAAGAATTAAGTAGTCAAGTTACTCTTACAAAATTACTATTTCTAACTGTACAGAAATTTTTATTATTTTTATTATTATATATATATTTATATTTTGACCAAAAAAAAATCTCTTATTTGTTGACAAAATGTTTGATTTTTTTGGTTTCTCCTACAAAAGGTATTAAAGCTTTTGATCTTTGATAAAGTTCCATGGAAATATGACCATCTTTAAGCGAACTTTTAAATCTCATGATTCCAACCCTCTTTAAATTTCTATTCTTTTCGGCATAAGAAACAATTTCTTTCAAATGATCATCATTCAATGAGATGTACACATCTAATTCTTGAATTGGAACCGAAAGTTCTTCATAAAACTTTTTATAACCATAAAGGTCAATTAAGAATGAAATTCCAAGGCATTTCAAGCTAGGAGGAATGGTTCTAGCCAATTGAGATAATTGATTAGTAGATTCCTGTGATAAAGAGTCTTCATACCTTCCGGATTCTATGAGGATTAAGGTTTCAAGGGATCTTAATAAAGGAAATAATTCATATAATTTAAACAAAGCAAAAGTTGAAATTTTTAAAGATAAATGAGTCAAATTATTCGGACAATGTGATTTTAGAAAAGAGATTGTTCTATAAGTTACATATTCCATTGTGAGGGATTCTAATTTATGTCTCGATAAATTGATCAGAATTGCCATTGCATCCTCAAAGTTTTGCGGATTCCTCTCCATATCAATTTGATACGCTAGTAAGTTCTTGATATGAATTTGTGGTAAAGATAAGTTTGGATTTACAAATTCACCTAATTTTTCTACTTCAAAATATTCCGTAAATTCAAGAGTTTCTAATTTAACACATTCATGCAATATGGGTAATAAAGTGTGAAAATTGCTCAACTCCAAAATTCTGAGAAATTTTAAAGAATTCGCCTGACTTTTAATTGAATGAATAAAAGAATAACCGATATACTCATTTACTTGAAGTAAATGAAGATTCCTCTGGGATTCAATTAATTTTGTTAAAGATTCACTAACTTTAAAAGTATTTGTTGAATCAAAGAAGATATCAATAATTAACTCTTGAATGTTATGAGAATAATTTGATAGTTGAATGAAAAATCTTGAAATTTTATCACCAAACGAACCATCGATATCATACTCCCAACCAAAGTATTTCAATTCTAATTTTTCTAAATTTAATAAAACTTTTTCGACATTATTAAAAGTCAAGATCTTTTGAAAGATTGTGTATTCGAGAGATTTTTCATCATCATGACATTTATCATCATGATTTAAATTTAAAATCTTAAGATTTTTGGAACGGGAAAAGATCAAATTTCCAATTATTTGAAATAAAAAAACATGCATGTTAACATTAATTTCATTACAACGAAGTTTTGTCCATTTTTTTATCGCATTTTCAAAATTTTGATAATCGAATCCGTTGATGTAAATTGCGTATTTAAATAATGCCGGTTTCGTTTCGGGTAAATCGTTCAATTCTGCCCTTAACCTTTGATTCTCCTCTTCATTTAAACATGTTATTAATGTATCAATGACCAAATGTGATTTGTTTCCGTTTTCCTTTTCAAAAGGTCGAGTCCAGAGTAAAGGAATTGTAAGTTGACACCAAGTACGATTAACATATAAACAATCATAAAGTGTCTTCTTATCATCGCGAAGAAACTCTAACATATCTCTTATGCAATCATAAGGGAGTATTGAAGTCATTTGTATTAAATTTTTTATTATTGAAAAAAATCACTTTCAATTAATTAAATAAGGTTTTTTTTTGTTTTTTTTATTGAGGAATGAAAAGAATGTTGATTGATTAGTAAGTTTATTTAGTTTAATTATTATAATTAAAAAAAACGCCGTATCATTCCTTAAATAGAAACTTGAGTTACAATGATATAACAACGCCGCGATCTTCCATGATGACGTAATACACCATCATGAGATAACTAAAACAGCTGAAAAGTTCCTTCTTTTTTTTTTTAAAAAAAAAATTACTTTTATTCTTATCATCGATTTTAAAAAATATTTCAAAAGAAAATATAATATCAGGTCCTTTACATTATTCTTCTCATTTAATAATTGATGGAAATTCGTTGATTTGTCGATCAAAATTATGCATGGCCAAAATTAGCAAGTTTATTTGTTTACCCAATTTACAAATTTCCTCGCTTTGGTTTTCTCTCTTTTTTAGTACAACACAGTTTCACAGTTTGCAGAAATTCCAAATTCATGATTCTGTCTTAGATCCTGATCTAAACAAACCCATTGAATCCTCTGAAGACCATGAATTCCTCCTTCACCACCATTTTCGGTCACAAAGAAGCTTTGATCATTTATGTTAAATGTGTCTTGATCAACTATTGATTAGTTATATTAAGGTGTTGTAATAAATAAATATACCTTTTCGTATGATCGGCATACATGTATCAAATATATTTGTAAATATTTGTTTTCTTATGGTTCGTCCTCTTCTATAAAAAATTCTTTGTTTGGGATCACGTACTTCGTTAACAATTATTGTAGTCTAATACTTAAGATCCAAATTTGATTAAATTATATTAAAAGGTTTATAATATTATCTAGATATTACATAAACTATTAAATGCTATTGTAATATTAATTAAATCTGCCCAAATAGTTAAGGGATGAGGTGTGTTATTTAGATTAAAGTCGTTATAGTAAAGGCCATTCGATTACTTTAACCAAAATTTTATCACAATTTTGCTATTGATCTTATTATAATTAATAGCATAAAATTTATTTTAAAAAAACTATAAACAAATATATAAAATTGAATGTATTCTCGTGTATAATACATATTTATATTCTCTTTAAATGCATTTTCTTTAAGTATTTAAATAATATAAATCTTACTTTAAATGCATATATATCTTTCATATTTTCACTATAAAGTATAAGAATGTTAATATATAATGAAATATTATTTAACTGATAAAAGATAATTAAGCAATTTAACTTTCATATATAATAAAATATTTATTATAAATAAAAGGTTTAATTAATAGCATTTTTTATAAACAATTTAATTAATAGCATTATATAATTAATTTATTATAAAGTAATATTTTAATAATAATGATAGTTTACAAAAATAATTAAATTTTAATTAATTAATTATATTATTAAATTAAGAATTTTTTAAACTTAAGTATATATATTATATAAGATTTATATATTTTTATATAAATCTTATAATATATAGAACTTAATCTTTATTATTAATAAATTAATTATTTTAAATAGTAAAATTCACTAAATATTTATTATTTTTTTCTATTTTTATTTTTTAAAAAAAAAAATAATAAATATTATTTATAAATAAAATTGTAATTTAAATAATTATATTTTAGGAATATATATTTTTTATATATATAATTAAAGTATAGATATCTAAAATTATATAAAATAATTAATTATTTTAATCTTAAAACATTTGGTAAATTTATTAGAAATTTTTTTGAATCTTTAATTTATTTAAATACCAATTAATTATTAAATTTACTTTTTTAATAAATTAAATAATATAATTATTTATTTTATTTTAAATTAATAAAATTATATATGTATTATTAATTAATTAATAATAAAATTATTATTTAAATAAAAAAATATTTTTAATCACATTTAGTCACAATTATACATAAAGTCAAAATAGATCATTTCGGATATCCGAAATGGTCAAAATAGTCAAAATCATTTTTTTTTTTGTTTTTTTTTTTTGATACTTTTACTAGGCACGAACAAGTGGTACTATATTTGGATGTATACCTTTCAACAGAAATAGATACATCTTACAATACGTCAAATGCCACTATTAACCCCACTTTGCTATTTTTCAAACCAGTGTGAGTTGACGTTAAACCTAGGTAAATGGGTGTCAATATCCTAGTAGACTGCCAAACCAATGAACCCTCAGGGTAAAGAGATGTGGTACTCAGCCATCATTCACTATTCATCACAACTACTGGAAAGAGGGTCAAGAACAACCTAAGATGATAGCCTACACCATAGT